ATATAAAAACACTATTCGCGATTTTTTTATACTATACACATGATATTCATACGTCTTATTTAATGGTAGCTATATTGCAAAGTATTAGAAATAAGTATACAAGGTCCATTACGAGAAGCGTGCACGCACGGTGAACGGTTTGACGCCTGAGGCCTCGGCGCTTCTGTGCACCAGATCGTGATCGCTCGAGGTGTGCGCGCGCCGCCATACGCAGTTTAGGGTTTGTTGCATTTAAGGTTCGGTTTAGGTATTATTAATTAAATAGTAATTCAGAAAGTACGAATAATATGATTGGTTAGTCAGACGCGTTATCAATGGACGACGTCGTGATGAATGCAACCCTTGGAATGCCCTTTCGTTCGGTTTATTTCAATTCAAAGTCCCAATGGATGAGTCTAACGCATTTCTAGGATTTTTAATTTGTTATTCATCATATCATTTTAACACTCAAGTCATTATATCAAGCATATTTGAACATTTCGGTTTTTATCGGTGCTATAAAGCACTAGTCCACAACACTCTTCAAATTTTATTCATACTTTTAATTATTTATTCTGACTCATCAATAGTTGTAATCAAAATTAATAATAATAATCTCAGGACAATTCACCCAGCGCCATGTAGACCCAAGTTAAGGTAACTAATGCTTGTGTTATGGGTACTAGATAACTGATACAAATACATACATTACTTTTTTTCATAATTACATACATATCATACATAGAAAACATTAAAACCGATACAAACAATCATACTCATCAATACAAATGTTTGTACCGTGCCAGAAATTAAAACCGCGACCATCGGACGTAAAGCGGTGTGCTAAACCGTGAGACTACCGAAATCGTCTCGGTGTTTTCTAAGCATATATATTTAAAAATTAAAGTGTATGAACTTATTTGGAATATTTTATAAAGTAACTGAAACTGATAAAAAGGGATTTTTGATTATTTCAACACAACTGTTATGTTAAATTAGAGCAAATTTATGTTAACTCTGTCATTAGAACTATAGTGAAGAAATTAATATATGGATATAAATATATTAAAAGTCACTCAACTTGTTTGTAAGGTATTGTTTTGCAAACTCTTTATATTAAAAATGAGCGACAACCCTAAGTTAAATGACCATAATGTTCTAGGTTAGTTGTTGTAGAATTGCAATTTTATGGTATAGTATCTTATCGTGCTTTCTCTTGTAGAAGTAGAGTAGATAAATAAAAAACATTCTTTGTTATTTATTTTTTTACTTTTAATTTATAATAAGTATAGAGTACAATAATATACTAAATTATAATCGAAGTATGTTTAATTTAATTTAATTTAATATTAAAAAAAAAAACTTTGTATTATTTTTAATTTGGGTACATTTTTACAACCGGTATTAATGTTATTGATTAGCGTTAAGAATAATCGTCTTAGTCATTAGTTGAAACATATATTCAAAAATAACGTTTCAACAATAACTTATAAGATTCAAATTAGACTGCCCAATATTTACAAAATTTCTTTTTTAATGTCTACTTCCAAATTTCGCTACCGTGACTCACAAGGACTCAGAATGAAAGACAAAGGCTTTGTCATTGCAAAAACCACCACAATGGCAGAATGTGGGACCGAACTAACGGGACTTTGATTTATAAATGAGAGGGTGAAAGGAGACATTTAAATATGGAACACATGGGCAGAAATACTGACAATGTGTAACTTGTTTATAATGATAATGAGCAATATACAATAATTAATTTTTATTTATTTTATATTAATATAAAATAAATTCATTCTTATTTGATTATAATATAATATAATTTGTATATTACTGCGTTTAGAAGTATACATTTAAATGTTTCTTGGAAAAGTTCTTATTACATAAATTTATAATATAGTTTTTTGAGTAAAATGTAATTTCGTTTACTACAGTATCTAAAACAATGATTTAGTTTATAGTATTTTGTTTTTTAATATCACTGCATATATTACATATTTAAAAAATGTAGACACAACATTTGCACAGACATATATATTCCGCTATCATGATCTGAGTAGGTATCATATTAAAGATGACTATATATCACAGTTTTTCTTAAATATTCACTTTCAATGGATTGTATTTGATTTTTATGAATTTCAACAGTTTATAAATTATACGATGTGCTGTAAACATAATTTTTATTAGTAGATTAGTATAAATTTACATTTTTATTATACAACTTTGTGACCATCAATGAATATGTTACTATCCTCAGCATAGATCGTAATATCATGTGTCAAAATTCAGTTCATAAATTTCAATATTGATTTTATATTACAAAATAATAGTTTTATGGTAGCCGTTGTATAGAAAATATTTTCGGATGTTTGTTTTTTATACTTTATTTAGAAGCAATTAATATTTAGTTGCCCGTTATTCAAGGTTAAACTGGGGCATACAACTAGTTCAAAACTAATAATCTTTTAAAATTTTAATATGTTTATATTAGTAGTATATCAAAAATTTATGGACTATTTGATGGTCATTAACTATAACTGCGAACTATAGGAACCGCATGTAAAATAGTACATTATACGATTTTTATAATACTACTGTACATATGTTTCTTTATTAACGCAAATAACCTACCTAATGGAAACTATAATAATTGGTAAATCGAGACAGCAAACTCCTTTATGTAATTTGATTGGCTAACAAGCTGACAGCTTACTTGATGGTAACCGTGGCATATATATATATGCCACGGTTACCATTACATACGTACATCACATTCGCCTCCGATCGATCCCCCGTCCAATTCAAACGGGGATCGAAATTATAATGGCCTGAGCTGAGGTCCGAACTACTACAGTGCCCTCAGACTAAAGTCAAATACGTCAGGCGGGACTTGGCCTTCAGACGCTCCATAGATCCTTTCGCGGGTTTGGAGTGCTGTCTGCACTCGCACTATGCCTATATATATGAACAGCATCACGTACATCACATTCCCCTCCGATCGATCCCCCGTCCAATTCAAACGTAGATCAAAATTACGACGGCCTGAACCGAATCTCTAGTGGTGCCCTCAAACTAAAGTCGAGAGTTGGCCTTCAACCGCTGCATAAGTCCTTCCGCGTGTTTGGAGTGCAATCTGCACTCGTCTCCTATAGTCCGGTGAAGCTTTAAAGGCCAGCTGCGGCCAACAGCATTAGAATAGTCAAAAAAAAAAGTACATGACATTATCAAGTGACGCCCATGACACATTACTCATGCGCAATGACAGGCTAAAGTTAGGCTCATTCTGCTTCACCTTACTAACAAACGCAATAGAATACTAATAAATAAGTACTAAATGTACGAACTGCATTACAGAATAAATACATTAATTGCATTTAGTGGATTGAATCTTGTGGTACAGCCCATGCTCTCGCTTGTTCATATTTGTAGCAATTTTCACGTCATTACGCGTAACCTCCGCTCGAGCGGTTACTTGAAAGCTGTACGCTGGTCATAGACTAAGTAGTAAATGGGATAGATACAGCAGGGGTAATACGAACTGATAATTTTCTCATGTCTGAATACATAATATGTAACAAATAACGACATGCTGTAGATAGTGGTATTACTGCTTTCTATGTTATTTACTTTTAGGACTTTAAGTGAAAATTAATGTAGATTATATATAAATGTGACTTTGTAATGGTTTTTGACGGTAAAATATTACTAACAACATAATATTTAATATATTTGCTTTTTTATATAATATAATAAATAAGTACTCAGAAAAAATGGATATAACATAACATAATAACAGCAATGGTATTTCCGAACTGATACGATATTGAAACATTCAAGAAAAGAAGTTATACTTTTTTAAAATGCCGTCAAGGTACTTGCAATTCCCCTAGTGTTGCGGGTGCTCATGGGCGGCGGTAATCACTTACCATCAGGTGAGCCACTAAATTTAATTTTTATAAATATAATGAACAATAATGATATTAAAATGTAGACTTTTTTTTGTGTATACTATAAACACTACTATTTGTAACAGTATTATTTGTAACAAAATCATCAATTTAAATAATTGAATGTTAAACAAAGTCAAAAGAATTTGTTGTTATTGATGAAAATGACAAGTTTTAAAACCTACTTGATTTTTTGGAAATATCGAAATAAAAATAGAACTCAAAAATTGTAGTACAATTTAAAAAAAATAGTTTAATATATGATAAAAAAAATATATCTTGTCCTTGTATAATATATTAGAAGTACATCATGTTTATATTAAATCAATACAATACAATAATACATTATAATACAAATTTAATATATTTACGTACAATACTACCTTCTGAAGTACTATCTTCTGAAGTAACATAATTTCCAGCGTCCTATCTGCATCACTTAATAATATATTCTGTGGAAGACGTGATTATAGAAATGCTTCCAATTTACATCACGTTATGATAATGTGGTTATGCATATTGCACTTGTGATATTATACTTAATACCATTTTGTAAAGGTATTAGATACATAATTATAATTAAAATTGTTATTTGAACATATCTGTCTGGATTCAAATCTAGTTTCATTATTCAGATAAATATATCTATACAAATATTATAAATACGATATTGTGTTAGTCTGTTTATAACATTTTCTCTACTGAACATTATAAACTTCATTAAGGAATAAAATTGGTAATAATTAAAGATTGTTCCATAAGTAACCATAGTTGTTTCAATAAATGATCTGGAAAGGGGTAAAATAGGGATAAAGTTTGGGCATATGAATTTGCGGATAACAATTACATCATAACGACAACTACTTGTAAAATTTTACGATTAAATGTCTCAACGGAACTTACAGAAATTTTATGTGAAGATGGATTTTATAGAATATCTGTCCTGATATAGGTTTTATGTTATGTACAAAAAGCAGATGAAGTCACAGAAAATACACTAGAACTAGAATATTACATAGTCATGACATAGATAGTATTTTTAATATATATTTTTTTAACCAACAGATACGTCACCGGTTTGGTCTCTTCGATGAGGTCTGCACCTCGGGAGGGGTTCAAGTACGACACTGCAACTGGATTCGATTCCTTCGAGTCTCTGAAAACTATGGACCTCAAGTGAGTAATTAGAATAAAACCTATAGAACAACTTTTTGAAGAAGTCTACAGTTAACTATAAAGTGACAAAAAATAAACATTAAATAGAAAAAAAAAATTACATTGAATTTCTAGTACTCACCAATATCAATAACAATGCTGAACATGTCGACCAAAGATAGTTTAGAAACGATCGTTTGTAAGTTAAACCAACAGAAAATCAAATTAAAAAGTAACCTCATTGATACAAAATTAAGAGCAAATACTCAGCGGAGGTCTTTATACAATCTTCTATGGATTTGATACACTGTTGAATGCCTGTTGAATGTTTCACATAATCACATAAGAAAATTTCATAAACTATTTGCTACCACAACAACCACAGTAGTATTTGTTTTTATTGTACTTGCACAAAACCAGATAACAGTCATAAATACAGAGTAGATAACTCTTTCTATTCTTAGACTTATATAAAAGTGATATTATTATATAAAAGTGTTTTTTGCAGGTCAATTTAGTCTGCACAAAAGTTAAAGGAGAGCCTGTATATGAAGCAGTGAAACCGGTATCTGCTCACACCGAGCTGGTAGTTTATTACCTTCCTGAGAGACCTGAGGAGATGTTCTTTGTGAGAATGAGAAATAACCTTTATAGACAAACAATGGATTCCATATTAGAAGGTCAATATTGAATATTGTTTTTTTTTTATTTTATATTGTTGCAATGGTAAAGAATATGTGGTAAAGTGGTACCGTTGCCTAGAAATACGCACATCGGACTATAGATATCATTTAACGCGATATCACACATGCGTTGACCTTCCAGAAGACTAAGTTATCATGCTTCTTATCATGTAATATCACAACTGCAACTACTTACAAACCAAGATGCTTAGCTACTAAATTTCGTCTAAAACATAATGTAAAAAATATTTTCTCATACTTCAAGTAATTTGTAATGTATTCCAATAAAAAAATAACGTTAAATGGTATAAAATTTGTATGTTAATAAAACAGAATTAGCTGGATTTGATTGTAATAAAATATATAATTATAAACTATACACAGTTGTAGAAAATATGGCCTTTACATTTTATTTTATTTTTGCCTGACACAGCAATGTAACTATTATGAAAATTATTTTTTTATAAAAAAATAAGATGAATAATTATTGATTAATATTAATAGTTATGTATTTTTTTTTAAAGAAATTTATTAAAACCTAAATAAGTATATGTAGGAATATCATACTGAGGTTCAATAAATAGGAAACATGTAAAGATTAGAATGTAAAGACTTCCTATAAAACCTTAAATGAACCTCACATTTTATTACATACATAGTTATTAAATATTGCGGTAAAATTCACATAGTAATGGACTTTAGCTGTTTATCGTCATTTTATGGCATTATTAGACGATTTAGTTCTACATCTCATATCCGTACCTTAAAAGTCCTTACCGTTTAAATGTCAAGTATCGTTTGCATTAAAGTCTCGTAAAAACAATAATTGGTTAAATGCTGATCTGTACTCATACAACTTGTAAAAGAAATATGGCTTTTTCTTATTTGCCACAGTTTAAAAACGACGATTTTTTCTTACTAAAATAAAGAAACAAATACAGTAAGTAAAACCACAGATAACATAATATTATATAGTAAAACTTAATTTTTGGCAGAAATACTATTTTATTTGTTGTCAAAAGTATGGAACAACTTTATTTTTTTAGTAATACAATCTGTAGAGTGTATCCATAATATATCAATTAAAAAAAAGATTAAGACATATTTATTGTATTACAAACATGATATTAAAAAAGATCATATGCATTCAATAGATAGTTCTAAACAATGGTGAATATAAACTGGCTGTATCAGTTTTTAAGAATACAACTGAATGGGTAGATTGAGATACGGGATTTTTGGTTCGTCAACTTTAGTACTAATAAGGAATTTAAAAAACACTATATTGTTTCTTACAATGTTGAACACGAATAAGTAATACTGAATAAACATAAAAATTAAACAAAAATATTAATTACAACTGTATTTTCATACATTTTCTGTGTTGCCCTTAACATACAACCTCCCAGTTTAGGATGTCGGCACTACAAAGAAGATTCCTACTTGCGCGGGCGTCGGTTCGGTAGTCTGTCTTTGTGATTGCTTTTTTTATAAAGCTTAGGTCGCGTTTAGCATGCTCATCTATATTAAAGTGTTCAAAAAAGCTTGCAGAAATTAAAATATTAATAACAAAATTTTAATTTCGAAGATTGCAAAAACACTGATTGTAATTGATTTCATTCTGGATACACAAAAAGGAGAAACTCAGGTGTCAAGTTGAGAATTTTTCGCTTGTAACCTCTGTGAAAATAACTACCACTTAAAAACTACCAAAATTTTAATACTTACTCCTAGAGTAGCTCTGATAATTTTCATATTTTTAGATATTATTCAACGAAATATCAACAAATGCGTATACGCAACTTTATACCTATAGTATTAATCATTAATTAAAAATACTATTTATAACATTCGAAACGATATGTATCTCGTGACATTGTTATATGCGAAGTTTTCTTTCGAATCGATTCAACAATGTAGTGTATGATTACACAAACTTATTATTAAAAGGCCGCTGTAATTAACTCTGCTTATTTAAATGTGATCTATTTATCTCTATCTAGCAATTATTATTTATCTTCCCAATTTTTATATAAACAGACAAAGTTTCATTGTTTAATTTTTACCACAAAACAGGACTTAACTCAATTAATAAAAAAATAATATAATAAACTTGAAAACATATTTAAAACTATGTTAATATTTGTAATAATTATTTATATAATTTTATTTATATCATTAATTTAGCTTAGCTAATAAAAAAATTCTACCATTAATAAATATTCAATATGAAACAACGATCACAATCTATAATAGAAAAGTTCGTTACTTATAAGTTATATCGATCGCTACATAAATATTACAACATGCGTTGGCTGGCAATTGCATTATTGAGATCATCAATATGAACTATATTATTTATTTATTATTCGATATTATATCAGATAGCGCAACTGTGCACTCAGCTTTACTGCCGAGTTGAGTTACACACGAGCCGATAACGAAAGCGGCACCGTTTGCGGACGACCGCCGATTCGATCGCTGCGGACTATATCGATAAGCCAAACGCAACTGTCAGCGGATGTGTATAAATACATATCGCAACACTTTTTGTAGAAGCCGCGGGTATTAAGAAACTGTTCATTCAATGAGATGGTGCGGACTCGCGAGTGTAAATGGAAAAGTAACAAATAAATATCACACAGCGCCATCTAACTCCAAACCAAATTAAGCAACGTATGATTGCGTATCGTTATTGAAATTAACTCAGTATAAGCAGTATTGTATAATATTTTTTTTATTATTTTACCGCATCATTGAAATATAATGCAGTGTAAATAATTTAGGTTATTTTATAATTTTGTTCCAAAATATATTTCCTGTATTCAGTTATTTAGGAAATCAATTACATCAAATCGGAAAGAATTGTTTTAGATTTCAATGATTTTCTAGCAACTTATATAGACAGAGAAATATTGAATTCTACAAGTCTTTTCAGATTTTCTAGATTTCAAATCTTAATCATTTCTAAATGCTATAACCTAATACATAACTAAGCAGACTACCGAACTATAATTAGAAATAAATTCTCTACTTGAAACTAATTTGTATCTACATAAGTGTACTGAATTTAATTACAACAAAAATAGCATAAGTAACAAATCATTCAACTAGACCATAACAAATAGAGTAGGCAAAACGAAACGCAGACAGGCAACTAGCGAAAGATGCTATCGTCCAACCATCTGTCTAGTCGCCGCGTCTTATCGGGAATTGCCTATCCAAAGATCTAGAAAATACACTATAAACATCCCTAGTACAGAACTAAACGGGAATCTGGGATAGAAACACGCAGCAACTAATTAATACTCAACATCTCGTGACAGCATATAACAAGATTTATAGCAAATCTAGTGATTAAGGACATTGTAGGGATTTTGCAAAATCTCGGTAAAGTACAAACGCTATAGATAAAGAACGATAAAGCAATATTAATTAAAACGGAAATTATTAAACGGGTTATAATAAACGTAAACTGACTAGAATTCCATAGCAAAATTTATGGTTGTAAAATATTGGTCCATTAAATTCACTCAAATTGAATCAAGATTTTAATGTGAATAATTTGATCTATATAAATAAGATATACTTATTATTTTTTGTTGATAATTCTCATATAATTTGGATATTATAATTGTGTATATATATATGTAAACCTTGTTGTCTAATTATTTGATAGACTCGATTTTAAGGTAAGATAATTCTTTCAATTGGTGATATTAATCGAATAATTTATTTTACGTTTAAAACACAAAGTAACTATTTTCCTGAATTTATGTATTACAATCAAATACATATTATTGTTAAAATCCTGAAACTAAACATATATTTTTTTATTTTGTATGTTGAAGGCTAGTAGAGATTAAAAGTGCTTGGATTAAAAACTTTATATATTCTATATCCGTTATGGTTTGTAAAGAATTTTTTGTAGTCTTATTTAGAAAATAATGTTAAATATTCATGATTTTTTATTGATAAAATTATCATATACTCTTTATTGTTAGCCATTACAATAGCATATACACTTAAAGTACTCCTTATTGAGTATCTTTATACTGTACTCAGTATCAATACAATATCTATATATAATGTACATTTGGTAATACTTCCTAAGATATCTGATTAAAATTTTCTTCCACAGACTCACCATTAGATTTATCTACATCTCTTCTTTCAAGAGTTTTACTACCAATATCACCACCATCCGGACCAGAAGACGAACATAAATCAGTGTCAGGTGATTCTCTCACGTCATCGTCGGCTGGATCATCAAATGAACTTTTAGAAATGACACCAAAAGTCCAAAGGAGGCCAGCAAAGTCTGAAAGAGCATTATTGCCATGTGAAGTTTGTGGAAAGGCTTTCGATAGACCCTCACTTTTGAAACGACACATGAGAACGCATACAGGTAGATTTAATTCATATTAATTAATAAATAATAAGTTGTAGCGTATTATTTAATTAAAAATGTAAATAAGTCCATTGATGATTATTCATGTATTTATAACTGCAATCATTCCGCAATGTAGGTATTTATTTCACTTCCTAGTTTATTATTGGCATACATTAGGCTATTTTTAAAACAGCTCTAGTATTATGTAAGTTACAGTTAAAACGCAATTATATATGTAGGTACGTATTCATTAATAATTTCTATCACGAGTGCTTCTATGGCATCCTCACTTTAATTAATTTTGTTTATATATTATACATTGCGTAACGTCAGTAGATTGGATTTCTCGCTACCTGTATTACGGACTAGCGTTTCAAAATGTGTAATAAATTTTATTTCAATTAATAATGTTTAATTTACTGTTGTATTTCATTAAGAATGGAATATAATGAGGTTTAATACATATATATATTTGCTAGTTAATAAATCAAATATTATGCCTCGAATTATATAAAAGACTGTGTACGTTGTTTTTTATTACAATTATTTTTTCTACTTATATATATTTATGCCACAGAAGTTTTAAAATAGTAAAATAGTCAATATTTATTATTTAGATACAATATTTAGATACACATGCATCAAACTGTAGAATACTGGAAAAAATATTATCACGTAACATGTAAAATAGTAAATAGAAATTACATATCTAAATTATTATTTTTCGGTTATACTATTTTTTTTTTACTATATTATATTTTTTTCATTTTAGGCGAGAAGCCCCACGTTTGTATGGTCTGCAATAAAGGCTTCAGTACATCGAGTAGTCTTAATACCCACAGAAGGATACATTCCGGAGAAAAACCACATCAATGTCAGCACTGCGGCAAAAGATTTACTGCCAGCTCCAACCTGTATTACCATAGGATGACCCATATAAAGGTGAGTGGAATTTTTCATTATCTCCATGTAAAGCAATTCTGAATTCTAATTTATTAAATTCTTTATTTAGTTATAATGACATCTTAATGTTTTTTATCCGAGTAAGTGGAAAAAGCTTATTAGTTTGCATTCAAGTTTGTAATCCCAGATGGAGTAGTCTGAGACATTTTATTTAATGATAGTTTAATCAGGAAATATTCAAGGGGTCTTTTGCCATGTCAAATCTTTCGTTGTTTCTCGGATAAATTATTTTTGATCATATATTAAATATATACATACGCTATGTTTATATTTGCCAATCTCAAAAAGTTATGAGCATTCGGGTGATTTTTATAAATGAACATCAGAAATAGTTCATTATATTTTTATGAAATATTCAATATGTAGCAATCAGTGGCGTGCAACGATATTATGTCCTTTTGCCTTGCTCAAACACGGAAACTTACATGCAACGTAAATTGCTTACGAAACTTCATAAAAACACGTTATCCTTGATGGAAAAACAATGGGTTGAGTTATTATAGTTTTTCTAATGATAATTCACATGGCTCGCACATCCTATACTATTATCAGACTGTAAAATTAAGTTTTTCAGCCTGAAAATTATACAATTGATTGTCTTATTGTAAGTACTGACTTCTTATACAACACACAAATGCGTACTTATTGTTAGCAAAATTATGTACATGTATCATATCATATAAGAAGCCTATGTATTTCAAAATATTATTTTAGTAATTTGTAATTACAAAGTTATCTAAAAATCCTTCATACATATTCATTGTATAATATAATTCTGAGACTCCTAGATTATTTTTAAATGTATACCATACAAAAGACTATACCAATATAAATAAAAATTATCCTTATCAAAATTCAGAATAAGTTATTGACTAATTTTCAATGCAAATTGCAATATCTCCACAGAGTAGTCAACCAGTAAGAAATTGTTAATGTAAATTAATAAAAAAACTATAATGCAATGTAAGGGATCGCGTCCTCAAATGTATTATAATTTAAGTGAATAAACAAAACCAGTAAAAAGGTGATGGAATGTAAAATATTCAATATTCTCAAGCCGTGAAACGAGAGATTGTAAAAAGCGACTGTTGCATATATGACCATACAAAAACGAAGATCAGTAACGCTTGTGACAGTACAGTTGGGTGTTGGATCATTATTTCAATACATTTTTATAGCTACTTCACTTTTCAGTAGTAGCTATGTCAAGACTAATATGTATAATAACTACTTTGAGTGTGATATTATAAATATCTTTTTGTAAGCCACCAGAATATAAATAAAATGAATATACTTCCAATTTATATTAATACTAGCTGAACTGCCAAATATTGTTTTGGCATGTAAATTGAAATACTAATATCACTATTAAAAAATAGGGGTTGGTGGCAGGAAACTGAAATTAAGAATTGTATGTATTTTTAATGCAATACGTCATAAGAGTTGGTCAAGCTGTTTCAGAGGAGTTTTGTTAATACAAACACTGTATTAACATAAGTCTTGACGTGACACGAGAATTTTATGTAGATTATAAAGAGAATTTTATAAAAAAAATTAATGTCTCGAAACTCATACTTAAATTCTCACACAAAAAGTTGACAATACAAAGAATTCATAACTTCAGCATTAGAATACAATCCACAAACATTATGAACAACGTACATTAAAAACATAATTATCCGCTTTTAAGAGATGATAATTTATTCCGAAGTGGTGTATTACGGTTCGGTAAAGCTTGGTGCACATTATACGGTGATGTTACCGTGCTCAGTTCCCATAACGCCCCACCTAAGTTTTTACTTATTTAACTATGACCTCATGTGTCCGAGACTTAAGAAAATCACACAACATCGCACGGTGAGTGGTCACAGGGCTGTTGCGACAGCGATTGTAGAATTAAGTCTTTTTTTAAATATATTATACGTACATACATACAATACATCTAATAAAAAAAAATTGCCACTAGAAATTGAGTCCTAAGAAAACGATAAAATATTACTACTACTAGTAAAAACTAGTAGTATAAACAGTAAAATTTGGATGAATGTTATGTTACTCTATGACGCTAGACCTAATAGACGGATTTGAATGAAATTTGTTATAAATCGCATTATAAATTAACACGAAGAATACTTTAACAATTCAGGCAGGTAATGTAATAATCGATACCAAACTATTTAATTTTGAAATATCTCTTTCCTTCTTCTTCATGTTTATCTAATTAAAAAATGAAAAATAGGTATAAAACATTTATATTTTAAATGATCAACAATATCCAATAATATATTCCCAATATTATTGTATTATGATTCTTCCCCATTATGTAAGCGAAGCTTTAGTATTGCTACGGCTCATACATGATTTTAATCTTGTCACTTATTTTGTATATGTCCTGTTTACCATTTTCTGTTTTGCTATTATGTGTGAGCTGAAGATATAAATAAGTCATTCTATCTACTTAAAACATTAATACGAATTAACAATAAAATACTAGCCAGCCCTAGTTTCTTAAGACGCACCTGCGGTCGCAGGTAAAGTAGTTAAGGCGGCGAAGTGCAGGGGCCAATAAATTACCGGGTCAACTCAACGTGGGAACTCACCCTATGGTCAGGCACTGTGACCAATTGAGACTATTGACAATGGACCACTTACGCAATTTAATGCATTGCTTTATATATTTATAATTCATCTACTAATTTAAGGTTTGACGACTTTGTTATATAGTTGCCGAGGTAGACTGTTTACAATGTCAACTGCATGAGCTATCCTCTATCTTCTCAATCCCTGTATTGAAATCGGTGGTAGAAATAAATGGAAAACTCCATATATTTCTCCCGATAAGCAGCTTGCTTTTGTTAGGTAAAAAATGAGATATGGTAATGAAATTACTGTGTACTAGGGCATAACAACTAGTTCACCTTAATGGCAATACATGTGGTGTTCTACTACTGTACTTGGTAAAATTCATGTATAGGAGACGGTTGTGCGATAAAAACAGGTGGATAGTCAGCTCTTTTGTCATTCCAGTTATATAAAAAAATTAAATAATTATACCTCACAGTTTAAGTTTATTGCCCAATCCCGAAAAACAAATTTATTAAACACTGGCTGTTACTTTTATAGAAAGGCTCGTCTAACACATTTCTTGATAAATAAGTTAAGCTTACTATTATAGGTAGTAGTTGAAGTGAACGACATAGTAAAAATGTAATTTCATGTCTTGATCATGCAAATGAAGAAAAAAGCATGTTACTTTGTTTTTATTCATCCTAATCATTTTTGAAATATCAATACAAAGAAATAATATTATCACAAAAACTTGATGTTCAGAAGCGGCTAAAATATCCTACATGAATAAATTATTTTAGATTTGATTTGATTATGAATATAATATTTAGTAACAATATGATCTCGGTACGTCATGACCGTACAAGCGTCTCATATAGCATGAGTTCACACACGACCGTGTGAAGATACGGTCTGCTGGCTAACACTTCTTCAGTATCGTCTTCACGATACGGTTCCTTGGTCATACGTGGGAATAAGAATTTTGGTAACGCATTGGCTCAAATGTTGGTTATGGATAGAGTTACCATATATTGGACAAATACCAGTATTTTATACATATAAACATGTATAGTAATTAATATATTTTTTATTTAATAATTGTACATGAAATCTTTAAACTTATTGCTACATTTATGTAAACAACTGTTTGCAGATAGAAATAAAGTATCATTTTTAAGATTTCAGTCTTCACTGATAACATCTTACATACAACATTATTTCATTGAAAAATAATATACTAAAAAAAAACTCACAAGAATGCAAATTAAATATCGGTGCAGACAAAGCTGCGAGACATAGTGTATCTATATAGTAATTTCTAGATTGCCCTAATAAAGCTATAGTGTCTGTATCTACAATGAACTGTTTATTCTATTGATGGGTTATGTATTGTCCATTGTAACTCTCTGTACCATCAGGCTATTGTATAGCATTGTGATTCAACTCCAAGTGACGTCAACCATTTTCATCTGCTTTGACAGTTGAAAAGCTTTTGAACCGACTCCGAAAAGGAGAAGGGTCAAGTAACTGCGTTTTTTGTAAACTTTATAGAAATACTTAATCAATTTTATACTGATTAAGTGATATTTGTGTTATCTTCTAAAGAAAAGATGTTCATTAGTATTTGAGATTTTGTCATTGAGTAATAATAAGTCGGACATTTTAATTAATACATATTATTAAGATAATTTTTTTTGCAGTCCACAGTGTTAATTTCCATAAAAATATATCAACTAGTACATCACAAAATATATATAAAAAAAGTAATAATTTAATAAATACATTTTGCTAATATCAAATCGCTTAAGTACACGAATCATCATTAAATATTTCACAAATAAATTCTCATAAGGAGTATAGTTGGACAAGGTTTTTCCTTTTAACTAATTTAGCACACTTACTTGACACTTTTCAACTCGTTAAAGCACTATCATTTGTTTGTTGTCCATCTGTGTGTCTGAAACTTGACGCATCACAACATTTTGTCCCCACAATTACTAGCCACACAAAGCCATATAGTGTGGTGTAAGTTAGAAGCACAAGCGAAATAGATAAATGTTAATATCTTATATAATATTATAAAATATAACTAATAGTCGCCTAGTGTTCGAAATTCGACAATAATTAATTTAACATTCAGTAAGACATTTATCAAAGAATATTAAATACAAACAACATTATTCTATACTCTATTTGACTATAGACTTAATTAATTAAATAGTATATGCGTGCGTGTGTCAAATACATGATAGTGTATAGGATGTTTCTTTAATTGATTTATTGTATTTTTGATCCATAATCCATAAAGAAAAATATATTAGCATTCTGCACTCTTCCTGTGTATAAACTTCGTCCGTCCGCGGAATTTTATAAACTCTGCTACCAGTTTTTTCTATTTTTTACATGTTGGG